ATTTTTTGATCGTTTAATTTGTGGCTACAAAAAAAATATCAAACAATTTATTATTATTTTCTTTATTGTAAAAAAAACAAAAAAAAAAATTTATACATCATTTGTTTCCATAGGAAAACTACTATCATATTTCGTTCTTTTAATTGGTCCACTAACACTATTTGTACGTCTTGTTGCACTATCACGTCGAGCAGTCATTTTAGTTTGATCATTATTATTTGTATCATCAGTCATATCACCTTTTCGTTTTGCTGCACCCTAAACAATACAAAAGACAAAAAAAAATTCAAAAAAAAAAAAAACATATTCATTTTCTCACTGATGTTGATGTATCTAGATTTGTTTCATTTGTATTTTTAGTTGGTGTTGTTGTTATTAATGGATTTGTTGGACGTATTGCTGTTGTATTTGGCATTGATTGTGATGATGATGGTGGTGACATCGATTGTATATGATCAATATGATTTGAATTTGTATTTAATGGTGAAAATGGTGATGTTATACCACTTGGATTTGTTGCTGATGATGAACGATGTCGTGATAAAACATTTGTACTACTTGGAAATGAACTATTGACTGTTGTAGCACGTGTTGCCATTGATGGAGTTGATGGAGATGCTACTACATTAAACATTTTTTTTTTTGTTTGAATGATATACACTGCTTACTTATATATATTAAAACAAAAAACAGACTCTGACATGTTCTGTAAAAAATAGAACTTAGAGTAAAGGAAAGAGTAAGGGTGGATCGCTATGTAATCGATTCTACTATTGATATTGACTTGATTCTAGCTAATTCAAAATTTGATATTATATTCCTATTTGACTTTTAGATAGTATGATTCGTTATATAAACAACTTTAGCTGAATTCTATTTAATGATCTGATATTATTATATTGAGTTTAGTTTGTTTATTTGTAACACATATAGATCGATTCATCTTTTTATTCTAATTTCAAAATTCACTTATCACTATATAGAGTGTATTTGACTAAAATATCTTTCTTACAAAATAAATTCAATGTAATGATATTCTCCTATGAAATATACAATTGTTTTTATATACATAAAAATCAATTTCAAATATTGCATATCAAATAATTGAATTGATGTTATTGTTTTAATGTTGTAAAACAAACAAAAAAAAGAAACGATATATTTAAGTATTTAGAACATACCAAACAAAATGCTGACACAGACAGTTAAATATCGTAAAACAAGATTGAGAAAAATTTTGATAAGAAATAGTTCTTATCAAATATAATGATAATATTTAAGCCTTATAACTACGAATAGTATCAGACACGACTTTTACCTTTAGAAATAGAAAGAGACATTGAATATAGTACACTACGTAAGACTAAGATTTCATTATTTAGAAGTTTGTTTTTTTTTTCGTGACTATTCTTTCTAATAATGAAAAATATGATTATGTATTTGATATATATTATAAATCCTATTCGACTGAATTGAACATTTTCTTTTTTAGAAATCTAAAATCAATACTTTCATAGTATAAAATAGTAGTCTGTAAAAAAAATCGATATTTTCTCTCAGATGATTGAGTTTTTTTTTTTTTTTTTTTTTTTTAAATGAAGTTCTATTTTAATTCTTCTACGAGAACGAAATAATATTTTTCATAGAAAATATGGATGGTTTAAAAATATTTTCGACGCTTATATTTTTATAGAAATTATCCGAATATTTTAAATGTATGACAAAATTGTTTTCTATTTATCAACAAATTTTCCTCTAATAAAATTAAAATTTGCTTTTATTTCGTATTATTCACTTTTTCAATAAGTCATTAATATAAAATTTTCAATTTTCAAAACATGATTTAATAATTCACCGAAAATGTATTACGATAAATGATGTAAGTATATTTTTTATGAATTTCTTTTTTTTTCCTACTTATGAAAATGAATCATTCTTTTACTACATACATGGAGAATTTAAATTTTCACTTGGTGTTGATGGTGAAATAACTGGTACTGATAAATTTCCTTGTGTAAGTCCTTTTGAAGCTGTTGTTTTTGATGTATGGGGTACAATTTCAATTTCCTATATATAAATATATATATTATTTTCCGAAAAAGATAACAATTAATAATCTTACATCTGACGGCATTTCAGCTAATTTTTCATAAAAAACTTTTTCAAGTGTTGCACCCATAATGACAACATCCTTGTGAAAAAAAACAGAAAAAAATTTATTTTCTCTTTTGGTTTTTTTTTTTTCGTGCGTTGTTTCATTTACTTCGCCTGGTTTATTATATAAATAACAATCAGTAAACATCATATTTATATCAGATATACATTCTTTAGCACTATAATAATAATTTGATTCGAGACGTTTTTTTATTGTACCAAGATCTATTGGATATTTAACAATTTTATGATAATCCTAATAGATAGAAAAACAAGAATTATTTTTTTTTTTTGTAAGAGGAAGGAAGTAAATTTAGTATTAATAATTATTACAGGTAGATGAAGTTTAGCAGCATTAACTGGTTTTTGAAATGGCCAAGAAAATTCATGTTTCCATAAAGTTTTAAATAAAACTTTTGACATAAATTGTAATTGATTTGTTTGACGGCCACGTTTTGATGCTGAAATATGTGGTAATTTTAAAGGAATTGTATTTGTTGTCTAGGAAAATTACAAAAGAAAATTAATATTAAATTAAGTTGTTATATGCAAAAAAAACTAAAAAATCAATCACCTTCATGATGATTTATAATGGAAATAATTAGTTTTCAATAAAAAAAGACAATGAATGATGAGCCAATAATAATGTGTTATAATCGTTTGGCTTCATCTAAAAGTTGAAATAGAGTTATGTTTTTTTTTGTTCTTTTTCTTTCTTTTATATATTATATTTTTATAAATATTATTAACAATCATATAAATGACAGATATTATTATTATTCATTCAAGAAAAATCAACAAAATGTCTGAAACAAAGAATTGATCGCCCTATTGTTTCCTTTGTTGATGAGCCTTCATAGTCAATTTTATGCATTAGAATGCATAGATGTGTTAGTTTTATTCATTTCTTCTTTCATTCATAGACAGAACGGAAAGAAAGAAAGAGGCAGATCAACACGCACGGAGAGTAGACATAGAAAAAAAATCGAGTTTTTCCTTTTCTTTTTTTCTTTCTTTCATTGAATTATGAGTTTTATGATGGAAGTTGATGGCCTGATGCCAATTATGACCGAATATGTGTAATCGTAGATGTCGCAGTCATATTCATGAAAGGAATCAGGAGTTTTATAATGATACAGTGTATATATATATACAGTAACATCCACCATTGATCGTAAAGTCATATGATGACTTTACTCTCTTAATATTTTAAGAGAAATTCAATATATTGAATTGTGATTGTTGACAAAATATGGATCATATCTTTTAGTTTATTTGTACCGACTAGTATTTTCTTTATGATCTAAAGTTTATTTATGTTAGATAAATGATACTAAAAAAAAAGTGATATCGTTGACCTTAGATAAAAATTAATTTTGTACATTTCATTAAAAAAAAAAATACTTTCATTTCACAGTAATAAAACCAAATTTATCGTGTAATTTTGAATAGAAACAATATTTTGTGATGTTCTAACGAAAATTTTCTCGTTTTAACAATTAAAATATGGTGTCTTTTCGAAATATCACGATGTATAATTTCTCATTGATAATATATATTTTTTCAATGTATGGTACAATGAATTATGTGTCAAGTCTAAGAAAATAAGTTTTTTTTTTTTACCTAATCCAACAAGTTTACTTTAAGAATAAGTGATACTTAGTCTAGATCGACCTTGAAATATGAGGTAAATTTTATAAAAAAAAAGAAAAAAGTATTTGCATTTTTTTGATATATTGACCTTGTTTTAAAATATTAGTAAAATAAAATCATTAGTTGAATGTACGATCGATTTCAAGTGCTACTATATGTAAGCATGAGAAAGAGTTTGAAAAAGAAAAGAATAATAGTAACAAATAAGGTCATATACGAGGAATTTTCTTCATATATCCAATACCAAAATAATTATTTATGTGACGATATGATATTGACATAATAAAAAAAGAAAAGATGTTTTTGTTTTTGTTTTTGTTTTTGTTTTGACAGATGATTATCTATTCGAAATGATTCAGTCTTGTTACTCAGAGATTATTCATTTACACCAAAAAATTAGTTTATTTCATGGTAAAGCAGAAAAAGTACATTAAAAAAATGTTTGTTCTTATTATTAAAATTTAAAGATTAATTAAAAAAAAAAGAAAGTCATTTCTATTCTTCGAAAGTTTTCAACAAAATTTCATCATATATCTAATTGTAAACGCAATGATATAGTTCGATAAATCATCTACTATGCTCAAACTCTTAAACAAAAAGAAATGTAATGGCTCATACAAAAAGATGTCTAAAGAATTAAAAGAATCTCATCTTTCTTTAATCATCTATTTACCAATGTATTTCGTAAAATACTTCTATTGATATATAACAAACCATTCATCTTGTCTAATATGATCTTTCTTTACAATCATCGAAATATATGCTTATATATATATGAATATATTGCATAACAAGTTGTTTAAGCATAGAGTTTTGCTATATCATAATGATCTAGCATAGTCATATTAGAAGACAAACTGACTCATGTCTAAGTTGATAATAAAAGAAAAATGATAACAGAAGCATTATTAGTTACATACTTCGTTAGAGGTATTGATAAGTCTTACATGTTATTACTAAAAACCTAGGTAAACATAATGATTTAAGTATTGAAATAATATGATAAATGCGTGAAAATCATTTGACAGCTATCTTAAATACGAAAATATGTTTATACATATTGTATCTATCAAGAAAATATAGAACGAAAATAAGAACATAATATTTTTTTATTATTTCTTTTTTCCGTTCGTCAAACAAGATAGAATACGTCATAGTCTCTCATTTTTATTCTTCATTATATAATCAAACATATGACTACATCATGTTTTGCTATTACGGGTGGTTGTGGCTATATAGGTTTACGTCTTGCTGATTATTTACTTGAAATTAACGATTTAAATACTATAATTTTACTTGATATTCATCCTCCATCTAATTATAAACAATCAAATCGTTTAATTTATCGTTATTGTGATATACGTTCTTATAAATCTGTTTATGATGCATTAACTAATGTAACATGTATATTTCATTTAGCTAGTTATGGTATGTCAGGTAGAGAAATGTTAAATTATAAAATGATCTATGATGTTAATGTAATTGGTACTGAAAATATAATTAAAACATGTATTGAACATAATATTAATAAATTAATTTATTGTTCAACATATAATGCTGTATATACAGGAAAAAAAGAATTATTAAATGTAACTGAAAATGATTGTTTATATCCAATAGAAAATGAATATTGTGATAATTATAGTCGTACAAAATCATTAGCTGAACAAATGATAATAAAAGCTTGTACATCAAAATTTCATACTGTATGTATACGACCAGCAGCTATTTATGGTGATGGTGAACAACGTCATTTTCCACGTATACTTAATTTAGTACGTCAAGGTATAGTATTTTTTGCAATTGGTCATAAGAATATTCTAGCTGATTGGATATATGCTGATAATTTAGTATATGCATTATATTTAGCTGAAAAATCTTTACCTAAATATTCAGGTGAAGTTTATTTTATATCTGATGATCAACCAATAAATAATTTTCAATTTTTATCACAATTAACAAAAGGTTTAGGTTATAATAATTGTTTTAATTTTTATATACCAACATTAATTATGTTTTATATTGCTTATATTATTGAAATTATACATTATATAAGTGCTAAATATATTTATAATTTTGATCCATTTCTTACACGTGCTGAAGTATTAAAAGTTGGTGTTACACATTATGCAAATATAACAAAAGCAAAAAATCTATTAGGTTATCATGTTAAAGTTAATCCAGATGAAGCTATGAAAAAATCTATTCAATGGTTTAATGAACATGGATATAAGAAGACAATAAATCAAGATAATTTTAAATTTTTTTGGTTATTTTTAATAAGTGCAGTTATATTGATGATTTTCTTTTTCTATCAATTTATCAGATTAAAAATGTGATATTTGATTTACAATAAAAGTTTTCTTTTCTTCCTCGTTTTGAATTAGTTTTTAAGAAATATTAAATCGATGTATATATATTGCATTGAAATTGAATCGTTAGAATAAAACATTAGCTACATATAATGAATGACTTTTAAAGAATTATTTGTACATAACTGAAAAGATCACGATAGATTTTGGAAAATTATGTTTTCCAAAGGAATATAAAAAAAAGAAAGAGCAATGGCATAGATTAGGCAGAAGAGTCTTTTTCGATGTTTGCACTTCTTTTTGTTTTTTAATTTAACAATATTTCTTCTGAAGTTCTAATTAGACAGTTCTTCAAAGCGAAAAATTTCTTGCTGCATACAAAGCCATTGAATATATTGCCATCTCTTAAAGAATAGTATTTTATTCTTTATGAAACATCTGTTAAAGAAAAGGATCTTGAACTTTAAGAAAATTTTTCTAAAGTTTATATTCAGTTAGACATTAGAATAGCTTATATGTACGATTGTATTTTTTGAAACATATTGATCTATAAATACAAGTGACTTGCTGACACAGAATATTCAACTTATTTATGATGTCAATGTATCTTTGTGAATCATAACAGTTTTTCTCTGTTTCAACATTATAGAAGGTTTTGAAATAAGAAATGAACGATATTCTTTTGACACACTAAATAAATACTACACATTATCAAACTATAACCTGTTCAAAATAAAAATAAACTGAGATAGTCACTAATAATTATACAGTTAGATCAAACGTATCATCAATTCATTTAGTTGATAATATTAGCCATTCTCGTTCATAAACACATTAGCTGATCAATTTTCGATTGTAAACTTAGAAATCAATTTTAGATTATGTTCTATGAATTTAATACACTGATGTATCTATGTCTGACAGTTCTTGTAACAATAACTGAGACTGAAAGATCAACTAATGTTATCAATCGAATAAAGACATGTTTATAATCAATTATAACACAACGATGTCAAAATGATGTCATTATTCCTCATATTCATAAAGAAGAATTAGATAAGTTGAACTTGAATAGCACCTGCTGTGATGTTATGTTGTGCATAATGGTTTTTAACTCGAATTAAAATTTTTCATTATTTTTGAATATGTTTTCCATAGAATAAGAAATACAAAACTAGAAATTTCTACTTTTTTTTATCTTATTCAAAATAGTAGCTGGAGTGAAAAGTGACTAAGAAAAATTGTCGTCTAAATTCGGTAGATGTTTGGCAAAGCAAAAAATAATGATATCAAATTCGATTTTTATCGATAGAAGTGTAGAATGAATTTCAAATGTCACTTGAATTCAAATTATGAAGAAATCTGCTCAGATATCTTCTTCTAATTTGGATAAGGTTTTTGCTTATAAATATTACATCATATCCGATAAGAAAATATATGTCAAACTTTTAGTTCTTTCAACTAACAATTAATTTAAAACTACTTAACCAATATTATAGGAGAAAAAAATTCCAAGAATACAAATTGCATGTTTGATGAAATTTTCGAACTTCGAAAAATTTATCTTCTAGAGATTTTATAAAGTTCCGAAACAAAAAACATTTTATTCAATCATCATCTGAAGATTCAAAAGCAGGCTTTTTTTTTCGTACTTTGTCACATCACTAACATTAGCCTTATTTACTGATAAAATATTAAAAAATAGCTCTAGAAAAATTCATTATTTTGAGATATACATATTTTTTATTTACTTTACTTATGAGTAATTTTACTCATATGAAAAATTTCATAGCATCGTGAAATCTTAATAAGAACACTAAAATATAAGTTAGTATTCATAGGTTTAAAAAAATAAATCATTGAAATCAAAAGGAGACATCTAGAAAAGTTTCGTTGTTAGCTACTAGTGGAATGACACAAATAAAATCATCTTGTATTATATTATTTTCATTTGTGAATAAAACAAAGAAGATAACCTCTATAAATATGTATCAAACATCATAGTATAAGTTTTTTTTTTTTCGAAGTAAAGAAGGAAGGAAGGTAAACATATCTTATTTGATTGGTGTAATTCTTAGACAAATCGAATTATTTTTTCAAACTAAATTTCCAAATTAATTTTCACTTTTTTGTTTTTTTATTGCTCATTCGATACTTCAACAATAATAAAAATCTAAGATACATTTTTATCTATTTGAAATGATTAAAATAAAAAATCTTAAGAAACAAATCTAAACTCTGATGAAAATATATTACGTTGTTTAATTTTCTTTCTATTACTCGAATATACAATTTTCTAAGGTTAATTTTTCTTTTTTTTTCAGATAAGAGAAACAAAAAACTGTTTTCTCAATGTCAACCGATATTACTGATGAACCTTTATCGACATCGTACGATTTTTTTGATGCAAAAAATGCTATTATTGTTACACTTTATGCTCATGGAGCATTTGAAATAAAAGACATTGATATTTCTATAGACACAGATTCACTTGAAGTTCGTACACCAGGTAAACAAAAAGAAATTTACATCTATATATATATATTTTTTGTTCAATAAGCAAATGAAAGATGGTCATTTCAATTATGGGAACATGTTTATGGTGATAATAGTGAAATTGAAACAACAATAAATTCAGCAGGAACACAAACATCAATTGAAATACGTCTACCTAAACAACAACCACGTACATCATGGCCACAATTATATAGTTTTGGTTCAATACCAATAACACCACAACGTGATAATCAATATAATGAATGTCATGAAATGAATATAATTAATCAACAACAATATGATTTATCAATAAAAAAAATTAGATATGAATTTTTTGAAACAAATGAAACATTTACATCAAATATTTATATTAAACAAGTATATGATTTTAATATAAATTTTACTGAAACAAATTTTACAGCTATTTTTCATACGAAGTATAATTATAAATTTACTTTTTATTTTTTTATTTTATTTCTTTTTTCTTAGAGATGAAAATTTTCTTAAAATTCATGAAATAACATCTGATAAGCCAATAAAATTATTTGTTCGTGTTAAAGAACGTATTATACCTGAGAAATGTTCATCAAATATAACACAAGCATTTATCGAAATAAAACTTATTAAAGATAATCCAAATAGTACAAAATGGGGTCGACTTGAACCAAATGAATATTTTGAATCTCGTCCACTTATACAACAAACATCACCAACTACACCACCATCATCACCTAATTCTATACAATCAACAATTATTAATTCTACAATGATTAATTCAAATAATAAAGGTATATATTTTATATTCAATAAATCGAAAAATCTTGATAAATATTCGAAATTGAATACAAAATTTGCTTCTTAAAATTAACTATATTTTAATATTAATGAAATTTAATCATTACTTACAATTGAGGTTATTGTTAAAATTTATTTAACAAAATTATTCAACTTTAGTTTCGTCTATCATTATTTCTTCGTAATTTATCAAGGGCTTTCCCTTTCGAAAAAGTCACTTTTTGCCAGAATCATCGACATTTGAGATAAATTCATGATAAAATAGACCGTCATGTACACTTTCATATACGACAAAAAATTTTATTTGACATTTCCTTTTTTTTCAAAAATTTTGCAAGATTTTCATCAATCTCTGTTCGAAAAATAAGCCATTTTTTACAAAAAAAAACCGAAAGTCATTTTTCGTTTTTCTCATCACGTGGGTTCAACAACGTCGTAGTGCCAGCAGAACTCTCTCGTAGTAAAAGATAAAGTCAAATATTTTTTTTTGTTTGAAAGCTTGTGTCTAGGACTAGCTCTCCTCGTCGTTCTTTTTTTAAAAGGCTGTTTTATTTTCATATAAGAAAATACTTTTACATAAACAGCGCCATTTCTTTTGGGATTTTTTGAGTCATTGAACTTGTCATTCCTTTTTTTCGCTTAAAAAGTAAGAATTTAAAAAAAAAACAGCCACGAGAGGGACTGCATTCTGACATGCTCTTTCAAATAAAAAAAAGATATTTTTGACCCTTGTTTGGTGAATATCTCTGTCAAACGTCATGATACAGGGCTGAAAATTTTATCATAGTCATGGTTTAACAGCTCCAACATATTCTGAACGTTTCATGAAATGTGGATGTTCCTGGACTGAGATCCATTTTTGAGGAGAGAAGAGGTCTTAATTAATAATTGACGAAGGAACTTCATGATTTCTATACATTTCATAGAGTTCTCTTTCGTATTGATTAATGGTGTACGAACATAAGTGTTTTAGTTCCAGATTTCATTCATATCATATCTAGAAAACACTTCCTCAATACTAATTTTAGTCAAAAACTGGTCATTTTTTGAGTCATTTCTTTTAAATAATGTTCTAATGGATATAATTTGAAGAGCGTTTGCTTAAAAACATAAAATATTTAATTTTTGATCGGACAACTTTTTCTTCTTCTCCTAGTCTCGGTAACACCTTCAAAGTTTGATGGAATCCAAAATAAAATTTGGTCATGCACATTTCCAATACTTACATACAGGTGTATAATAAGACTGCTAGCATAAACAAATTATCGTTTAAATCATTCATAAAGAAGGAATAGAATAGGAAAATACAATTAATATGTTCGGATATTTTTTAAACTACCTGTATATTTATAAAGATAAGTGAAAGATTTTTGTGATTTACTACTCAACTCTTACATTGATCAAATCATTTATTAATAAATAATTGTTTTTTTCTTGTTTCTAGCTATTCCATTACCACCTCCACTTCCTCCATCATCGATGGATCGCAAGGTAAATTTATTATCTTGTTATACATATATATTGTTTAAAACCATAGAAAAATTATTTTCTAGATAGAAAAATATCCTACAGCATCAGCATTTTCATCATCAATTCATCAGAGAGATACTACATTAACATCAAATATTTCTTTATCATCATCATTAATTGGTTTTACTGGAATTTCTAATCCAGCTAATTCATGTTTTATGAATGCTACTATTCAATGTTTATCAAATACACGTGAATTACGAGAT